ATTTTATTCTCATCGGACCACCTGACTTTCTTTCTCCGTTTTGTGCGTTTGCTTTTTCTGAGAATCTAATCAGTTCCCTAATAACCAACGTTTGTCCTGCCTACGTGCTACGAGCCCAGACCATATCTGTTACTTCTTGATTTCAACTATGGAATCCTAAACACTGGTTTGTTCCCTGATCCACTCTGCTTTATTCTTGTCTCCTTATGTTACATTTATTGTTTTTCTTTTTCATCACTAGCTTCGTCATCCTCAATTTAAGCTTAACCCTTCTTGTAAGCAAGCCTCGAGGTTTCTGCTCTGTAGCCAAGTAACGGCAAAATGCAGCTGTAATATACCTTCATCTTCTGGATTATAGGCCGATTACAACCCAAGATTTGAGAATGTTTCCCAAAAGTGATCCACGCTATCCTTATTTTGTTCGTTATTTTATTCTCGTTGTTCGGCTGAGTGGTTCCTACCTGTCCCTACGTAGGCAACAACAACCAGTGCCCCTTTACCTATCGCAAAGTGCTGTTTTCTGCCGAAGCTGTTGCACATTAGCTGAGTTTTGTGCATCCTAATTTTCAGACCTACTCTTCTGCTGTCCCTTTGCAGGTATGTAATCATGAAGTAAAGTTTGTTCCCGAATTATTATCAACGCCATGTCATCAGCGAATCGAAGGTTACTAAAATACTCCTTATTAACTCTTATCCCTATCTCTTCCTAATCTGGGATCCTGAAAACCTCCTGTAAGTTCGCGATAAATACAATTTAAGAGATCGTTTCTTCCTATCTTTCACCCTTCTTTATTGGCATTTTGCTCCTTATGGAAAACTATAATGACTGTGGATTTATTCCGGTATGTTTCTGTAGGGATCTTCGATGCCCTGATTCTGCAGGATCTGCATTACTGCTGATATTTCAATGAGTCAAACGCCTTCCCGTAATTTAAGAAGGCTATGTTTAAGGGTTGGTTGTATTCCGCGCAATCCTTCATTACCTGGTTGAAAGTATGAATATGGTCTGTTGTGAAGTAGCCTGTATGAAATCGTGCATAGTCATCTGGGTGATTTATCCCTAATGTCGCCCTAAATATATTAGCAGTTATTTTGTATATAGTTTGTAGAGAACCGACAGTAAGCTGATCGGCCTGCAATTTTTCAAGTCCTTGACGTCTCCTTTCTTAGGAATTACGACGACTTTGGCGTTTTTGAGACAGAGATTCTGGTACCGTTCTTGTGCAGAGACCCTGTGTATGTAAGGTGGCCAATTTTTCTAACACTATTTCCCCGCAATATTTCAGGAGTTTCATTGTTATGTTATCCTCAACAGCGGCTTTACCTATATGCAATATTAGTGTCTGAAATAAGCAAGAGTTTTTGCTCTTTCTACAAGGTGACTAGTCTTGTACTCGTGTGGTTGAGACTGTAGAGGTATTATGCTCTTGTATATTTCGGACTGTTTTATTGTATTCTGGTCTGGAGAACAACTACGACAGCTAACTATCACAAACTACAAGTGCTTCTACAGAGAGCTATGCGGTGCATCCATGGTTACTACGCAGTCCCCAGTATCTTCCCGCTTTGCGATTGTTTTGTCACTAAGCCATGAATAAAGTGAACCAAGCGTACTTTTTTTCTGCTGCAGCACATTAAAGACAATCAATTATATACTCAAAAAAATAGTTTGTCTAATGATGTTTATCATTTTCTTAAACCAAGCCTGCGGGTTCCTAAAGACGCGTACGTTATATGATAATCAAAAATTAACCTATCAGGTGGCTACAGCTCTAAATAAAATGTCTACAAATGTTAATTTTGATGTTTCGATGAAAATATTCAAAAAGGAAACAAAGAAATATTTACTCGACTCTGGTTTTTGTTGTGTATACCAAAACTTCCACTGCTGTATGCTTAATGACACTTTATTTTGTGGTACTTGTAAGTGTATCTGGTTTATCTATTTATTATGTAAGTTTTCAGTTAAATTGTTTTGTTAACTGACCCCAGACTGTACGATGAAGCCCATGCCTTCATCAGACATCCTAGCCTTTAGCCCCGGCTTCCTTCTCTGTATGAATGGAAATAATTTTCACTTCGCTTCTAGGATTTTCCTTCCTTCTCCTGTCGTTACTGTTAAGATGTGGAAGTGCTCTGGGTTATTATTGTTTTTTTGTGATACAATCCTGGTTGCTTTGGGGTCTGTACAGCACCCTGTGAAACTCCTCCGCTACCTCACCTATCCTATCCATAATGGTTATAACAATCCCTTCTTTGATCCTTAGTGCATACATGCAATTTTTCCTATGCACAAGCGGGCCTTCGCAGATTTATCATATCCCTAATGGTTATAAAAATGTCTTCCTTGTTCCTTAGTGCAGACATACAATTTTTCCTATGCACAAGCTGACTTTCACTGATTTAGGCTTCTGCCGCTTTTGGCAGCCTCCTTAATTCTCTCCAAGTCATACATCCTTACGTCGGCTTCGTTACATCTACTGCTTAACTTTAACATCTTCACTAGCTCTATTTTGTCTGTAGTATTGGAGGCTTTTTATGGTTTGTATTCTCGAAATTAGTTTTTTTGCTCCAGATAGTGTGCCATGAAACCTCCTGCATGTTACGGAAACAGGCTCCTGCTTATCGTACTTTCCTCCATTTCTTTATAAAAACTGTCTTAAATATGGAGGCACAGCACATTTTTTCCGGTATCCATTGTTCACCTGTACCCTGTATTTTTATTTCTAACACAATGTTTTAGATGTGCAACACAAACGCCGTGTCTGTATAAAATCAATGAGAATGACACCGATAAAAATAGCCAGTAGCACCAGGACATTTCCTGCTTTGCATTTCATTTGTCATCGTTTCTAGATACTGTGCTTCTTAGAGCTGATATTTCGATCGAACCAATGCTTCTTTGTAATCTGGGAAGTATAAATTTACATGTACTCTCACGACTAGTACACCACACACTTGTAGACATTCTAGTTTGCAGCCGCTTTGTTGGGTGAACTTGTGCTTCATGCTCGACCGAGAAGGTACCGACGGTGGTATTGTTATTTATCACCGCTTCAAGTTGGAACAAAAAAATCTTGATTTCCAATGAAGGTGCACGACGTGTGATGCTATCTTATGAAAATTCAATCAAGAGATACCGATATAGACTTCAATGGCATCATTGAACAACGAAACTTTCAGTGCATGCTTCTAAGCGTGCATCAAAAAGTATGGAGGCCTTAATGATTAGGCGAGTTCATTTGCAGCTACAAAGCGCAGGCCTCACGTCACAAAATTCAAGTGTTGCTCATAAAGCAGTAGTTTTCTCTCATCAAATTGTGTGAGTACCGTCTATTGTCTAAAAGCATTTATGAAATCCTGCTTCGTGCTTTGTTAGATGTCGGTAGCAAGGTAGTCCTACTACTAATAAATATTGCCTTTTTGAGCAGCTAGTGGGCATCGTACTGTAAGTAGCCTCGACTTCTCCTTTATTATGCGTAAAATGAATATTGGCATTTCCTGAAGGTTCTGGTAAGCCCACTGTCTTGACACTCTTCTTGTGTACGGTTGCCGGTTTACCTAGCGACATTCTTATCCCGGCTGCGGCGGCTGCATTTTCGATAAAGGCGAAAATGTTGTAGGCCCGTGTGTTCAGATTTGGGTGCACGTTAAAGAACCCCAAGTGGTCGAAATTTCCGGTGCCCTCCACTACGGCGTCTCTCTTAATCATAAGGTGGTTTTGGGACATTAAACCCCACAGATCAACCAATCAATCATTTACCTAGCAATATTTGTCCGAAGTTTCTCAGCAGTTTTAGAGTTACGTGATCCTCCGTTTGCCTCTCCCAGCCTTGACCTATCCACTCACCCTGCGACTACTAGGGGATGTCTTGTTCCTCTGGCCGACTAGTAAATAACAGATCGCCATAGTTGTCTTAGATTGTACAGACCACTGTATACCTATTCAGTAAGATGAACTGTCGTAGCCATAGTGACTTTTTCATTAACTTTTTGTCTTTTAGCGCATGCATCTGTGGTTTCTGACTGTGCCCAGCTTTTTACTCCCACCTTCATACATCAGCTTACCCGAGCCAACTGCTTAACTTCGAAACATTTCTCAATTATAGTGTGCTAACTTCAAAACTTTAATGTCCGGAGTTTTCACTACGCAGTTAGGACACTCATGGGAGAGTTTACAAGCGTCCTCTCTCACCAGTGCACCTCCGACCTCTATTGTATAGCCTGGAATGATCATTCTCCAATTACTGCACATAGCTTCAACGCTAAATGTCTTAACTAGAGCGGAGCACCTGTTCAGTACTGAGAATAAAAGCATAGAGTGTATTTGTTGAAGTATAATACTTCTCTATATTATTCACGACAGAAATAAATAGAAAAACTTTGTTGAAGAACTAACAGCGTATGATAGCGACAACGTTTATAACTTTTAAGGACTCCGTCCAGTGTTCTACGAATATAGCTACAGCAGCGGCCCTTATCTCGAACATGATATTGGGTTTTCCCATGCAACATGCAAAAAACTTAAAGTGCTTTTTTGGGGCTAAAGCATGGAGAAGGACAGGCCCGCTGTGAGTTTTTAAAAGGAGCTAGAACGCAAGTTGCAAATTTTATCATCCCTTAATCAGTGTCATTAAAATTGTATTATGTGTTAAAAAAATAAACATTGCTAACTTTCCCAACAGTGTACAATAATTTGGTTCGAATGAAATACGTTGGCATAACCATTTTATTTCTATTTTGCTTCTACACTTACTGATCTATCTATTTTTTAAATAAGAACCCGAAATTGCATTGTCAGCTTTCTGAGGGATAACACACTATGGTAAAATACATTTCAGAAAACTGATGCTTTTGCTATTTTATCAATTCAGGTTGGCTTATTTTACCTATTTCAGTTGTTGTGGGTCTCTTCAGGCTATAGAATATAGCAGCATGAGGCAGCTTCTACGCGTAAATGTGTAATTGAAACAAAAGGTTAAAGATACGCACGTGTTAAGCTAGCAGTCGGGCCTTGCGTGGTCGTTGACGTTGTGGTAGTGAAAGTGGATGTCGTGACTTTCGGCATAGTTGTCTGCATTGTGGTCTTCCGTGTGGTGGAAGTAGGCGTCGTGGGCTTTGGCGTGGTGGTCATTGGTGTGGTTGTCATTGGTGTAGTGGGCGTGGGCGTAGTCATTAGTGACGTTGGTGTTGTCGAGGTTGTTATGGGTGTTGTGGACAATGTTGTAGTTGTCAATGGTGTGGTGGGCGTTGGTGTCGTAAGCTTTAGCGTGGTGGTCATTGGAATCGTCGGTGTTGTTGTGGTGGCCATTGGTGTTGTGGGCGTTGGCGGCGTGTGCTTTGGCGTGGTTGTCATTGGTGTCATGGGCGTTCGTGTTGTCGACGTTGGCATAGTTGTCATTGGTGTTGTCGGTGTTGTGGTTGTCATTAATGCAGTGGGCTTTGGAGTGGTTGTCATTGTTGTGCACATTCGTATCGTGGAGGTTGGCGTGGTTGTCAATGGTGTTGTTGGCGTTGTTGTGATGGTCATTGGTGTTGTGGGCGTTGATGTAGTCGGCTTTGGCGTGCTTGTAATTGTTGTCGTGGGCAGTCGTGTCGTGGACGTTAGCTTGGTTTTCAATCGTGTCTTTGGCATTGGTGGGGTGGTCATTGGTGTTGTTGGCGTTGGTGTGGTGGGCTTTGGCGTGGTTGTCATTGACGTCGGGGGCGTTCGTGTCGTGGTGGTCTTTGGCGTGGTTGCCCTTGATGTCGTGGGCACTGGTGTGGTTCTAATTTGTGCCGTCGTTGTTATGGTGGCGGCCATTGGTGTTGGGATCGTTGGCGTCGTGGACGTTGGAGTGGTTGTCACTGGTGTCGTCAGCGTTGTTGTGGTCGTAATTGGTGTTGTGGGCGTTGGTGTCGTGGAAGTAGGCATGCTGGACCTTGGCGTTGTGGGCGTTGGCTTGATTGTCTTTGACGTTGTGGGCTTTGATGTAGTTGGCGCCAGTGGATTTGGAGTTGATGTTCTGGGTAAAGACGTGGAGCGCTTTGGTGTTGAAGAAGGCACATGTTTCGGTGTTGACATCGTTGTTAATGGGGATAAACGGCTAGTTCTGGGCGTCGTAGGTGCAGGAGTTGGTGGTGCAGGGGCAGTTGTTTTGAATGGTGTGGTGTTGGAACTCACAGGTCGTATTTCAGTGATCTTCGATGTTGATGTCTGCATTGTTATTGTAGAGAGCCGCAATGTGGCAGATGTACCAGAACTTGGTGCCTGAAAAAGTGCATAATTTCAAGAATAATTATTTCACGATCGTCATTCTCTGCGTTGCCATCATATTGTAACGTATAAAATTAATCTGCTTGAGTTTCATGATCGTCATTGTAATGTTTGAGGCAACGTTAATTTGCTCGTTGCGAGTAATATTGCCAGATATTCAACGTATATCAAATGTTGCTAACACTGAGCCAAGAACTCATTCGCTTGAGAATGGACATACCTTTACATATATTCCACATCTACATTTCTCATTTATGAGGTAAGTGTTGTGACAGATCCGAAATTGTGAACGCAATAGTTGCAGTTGACGTTAATTTGACAAGCCTAAGAGATGGTCTATCTATTAGAGTTGTTTCATAAAACACATAAAATTTATCTTTATTATGGATGGCTTGCCATTGACGAAGGAAAATTTACTCATTGTGGCTGATACTTAGTAATATCCAGAATAGTACCAAGTGTCATTGTATATGCTTGGTACCAGAAGCTCTTTTTTTATCAAACACCATTGTTCGTGGTAGAAGCCCACATACTCAAAACGTATAGTCAATATTTTAAACTTTACCAATTTAGGCCATTTTGGTTTCTGAATAAAAGTGCAATTTATTATAAAAAACTGCATAGGTCCACTTGAATAAGTAGAAGCTGTGTTACTGGTCCATTCATGCAATGTGAATTCGACTAAGTCTAAATTGTATAAACCTAAGTGCTTTAGGATGTCACCGGAAATTTTTATTTTTTTTTTTCATTTTCTGAACTGGCTTTCAGTGTGAAGGTTTAGAGAACTTCGCTGTTTTTTACTGCACATGGCAGGGCAGTACTGTTGGTCAACAAAAGAAATGCGCATAACTTTGTTGTTGATGAGAAAAATAAAGTTTCGTACATGTAGGCTGTTCTTCCAGGGCATATACCTTCTTTTCAGTTGTATCCTTTGTATCGCCTTCTCTGGTAGAGCCATTGGAACCCCCTGAGCCGCTGGATTCAGCTCCGCCTTGACCAATGTCATCTTCGAACTCAGTATTGCCTTTATAAATACACATAAATATTTATCAGTGCATGTGCGATTTCGCCCACTCTATATCTGTCATACGCACATATCTTTGAATAGGAAGTAGTTTAGGCATTCACAATCGGAATGCGGTAGAAGATAGACTAATTGCCGTGTAGGTACCAAACGTTACCAGAAATTGATTTAGAAAACTTCACTGTCCCTGGAGCCTCTATTACAGAAAAAAATTATGAGCTATGTGGATAATGATAACTGAGATTCTGACTTTACCAGATGACGATATGAAGCAAGTCATAGTGAGGGCCTCTGGATAATTCGGCAACTATCAGAGCCTCTAGCATTTGGCATGCATCGAAGTGGGACCACCATGGCAAGGAATGTAGCATTGTTTTCGAGCCACCAACACAGCAGCTTTACAACTGTATCAATTATTTGGTCTGAAAAATACAGAGGTAAAGTGATCTTGCACACATTATTTTATTATTCAATGTGAAGCTATTGCTTGGTTGATATGTGGGATATAATGCTCCAGAACCATCATATGATTATGAGAGACGCCGTAGTGGAGGACTCTGGAAATTTTGACCACCTGGGGTGCTTTAACGTGTGCCGAAATCTGAGCACACGGGCCTACATCATTTTCGCCTTCATTGTAAATGCAGCCGCCGAAGCCAGGATTTGATCCCATGACCTGTGGGTCAGTAGCCGAGTACCTTAGCCACTAGACTACCGCGGTGGGGCAGGAAGCTATTGCAAGTTAGCGGTATCCTAAACAATTATGACGTTAAGCAGCACATGGTCACTATAGCAGCGAACAGAGCATGGGTTGTCGATCAACTGCCGAGCGGCAATCTGCATCGGCATTTATACATGTGCCGTTAAATGTTTCAGCATTATTGCTAGCGACTCCGTTTTTTCCAGGACAATCTGAATTTTTCACGTTGTGCACGTAATCGCATCAAAAGATTCTACAGTTATTTCAGTGGTTCTTTTTCCAATCAGTGTGGCTTTCCAAGGCAGCATTTACATGTATAAAGGAGAGATAACAAAAATTTAGAAAAGAGCCTGGCAAAACTCACTGTGAATTTAATGGAAATGCGCATCAAGTTACGTTTAACCATTATTACAGAAAAGTAGCCCAGAGTTTCTGTTAAGTAAAATAAATCAAACCTGCCAGAGAGACAGACAGACAGACAGACAGACAGGGAACTTTACTGAGGTCCTGAGGAATACTACCTTAAAGAGGTAGAGCAGTGGGCCCCTCCCACATCGGAACTGATAGGGCAAGCCTTACCGCCGCGTTGTGGGCCCTCTGGAGAGTTCAGAGTTGACGTGCAAGTTCTGAGCCCTCAGCGCAGTGCTCCATTCCTCGTCGTACATGTGCTCAGAATCGCGTGATGGGGGGCACTGCCAGAGCATGTGGTCTCGTTTAGGTTTGCCATGGAGGCCAGATGTGGTCCGAGGTGAGCCGAAAACCAAATCTTGGCGTGCTCTGAAATATCGCGATTGCCTCAGATGCTAGCTACTTCAGCCAATACTGATCCAAATGCAAAGGCTCGCACTGCCGCTCATGAGTCTGTATAGATGTGTTGCCGGGAGTCGTGAAGGAGAGCAAGAGTTCCTGATAGACGCGGATTGAATAACACAACCTTCGTGGTCAACTGCAACGACCTAGAAGTTGGCTGTTCGGCCGTATTGCGCCGCGTGTACGAAGCATGCAGACTCCGGGTTTGCCCGAACAGTCTTGAGCAGTGCTTCACCCCATGGCCTTCCACCTGTTCGCGTTGTTCTGCGGATGTACGTTGCATGGGAACAAAGCGACCATAATGTTGGCTCATTGCTTCTTAGTGAGAGACTGACTACGTTCCTCTTCTGCCGCACTATGCCATACGATTGTCAGGATGTTCCTTCCTGAAGCCGAGAAGGAGAGCCTGGCCATCTGAACCGTATGCTGTGCCTCAACGATGTCTTACAGCGTGTTGTGTATACCCAACTGCATGACGCGTTCCGTACTGATAACCGAAGGGACCTCAAGCCTGAAGTGAAGAAAAATTACAATAGAAAAGTTTCGCTAAGTTTTTTAGGTATAACTGCTTACAGCACAAGTGTATGATTCACCAACACTTAGAATGGCCTTTCTGAGAGGAGTCAGCTAACAATAAACCTGGAAGAGAACAGCATATACGTTGGAACATTCCGCACTGTCGTCATACAATTATTCGATAGCACTTAGCCGTTCCACTCATGAAGTATAGGCCATTAATACACGCAATGCTAAGTGGAAGTGTGGGTATTTGTGCTTCTGTTAATACGTATCATTTCACTGGTTCCCGATGCGCAAAGTTTCTTATCATTAAGCTCAGTGAACAAGTTATGTTCGCTAATTGAATTTTAAAATGCCTGTTACTCGCAGATTTGAAGAGAATATGTTATAAATTGCAAGGAATGTTGAAGCGTGATTTCCACAGAACGTCTTTCAAGATTTCGAAGCTACATTAAAAATACCATCGCCGAACTGCTTCTTTCAATTTCTTGGTCAATCTTTGTTCAGCTGCTAACTTGGTGTATGACATGTTTCTAAGCTATGTAAGATCTGAAAAGGTAGATAGCAGGAAGCAGCTGGTTCAGCTAAAATAGCGGAAATAAAAACGGCTTGAGAGACTTCGCCGCCTAGATATCTGGCTTTCCTTTCTGGCATGCATCCATCGTTTTCACAATTCTGTATGCGCACATGTCTTTTGGTCGCTTGTTTTATAGTTATTTGTCTAGAGATTGATTTGCAATAGAGCCACTTGAAGCAACCCACGTCAATTCGCAACACCAATTACTGCGAAATTTTGCTCTGTACGCATTAAGTGCGTGAGCATCCGCAATCTAAAAAAATACATTATGTACTGGAAACTTCACTAAAAGAAAGACAGCTACGCCATCCACGAATATAGTATCCTGCGATGTGGTTTATTTAACCAGAGAATTCGCAACGAGGTCGATACAAAAAAAGGCCCATATGGCTAGGCTGGCAAAGGCGCCACAGGTTCTCGCACAATCTTCGAGAGCCTATCTGCTTCTTCCGAAGGCACATACGCGTTGGTGCATAAGCTGCACTTTAATACTTCCGGGGTGAAGCGTAGCCATGCTGGCTACTCGGGGAGTAGACACAATGAAAGGGTCGTAGTAGGGCTTGAGACGGTCGACGTGTATGGTCTCGCGTCCTCAACAGCGCGAATTTGGTGATTTTGTGAAAGGCTCGATTATGTATTTCAGCGGCGAGCTTGCATTGATGACACAGTATGGATTATGGCACCACACCAGAAGGTAAGAAGAAAGGCCAAGGACGTGCGCGGGCACCTGAAGGCATATATGGGACCCATTTCGAAACGCAGTAGCTGAGAGACAAACGTCGTCATGTCGACCGTGAGGCTAACTTGTCAGAAAACGAGCCATCTGGTGGCAGTCTTCATCGTCTCCGGTGACTTCGGAAAGTGGAGAGCACTCAGATGCATCAGGATGGTATGGTAGTGATGTGTCCAGTTGGTGGAAAGGTACACAGCCGTACAACGGAAAGAACAGAGAAAATGCGGTAGTAGCTTGCGTCGTGGCGTTGTAAATTTAGGTGAGAAAAGATTGTACAGCGTCCCAGCTAGTGTGATCGGAGGAGGTGTACGTCATCAGCATGTCACTAAGTCGGCGGTTGAAGCGCTCAGTAAGACCATTTCGCTGTTGATGATATGTGGTACATTTCCGGTGGATGATGTTGCATTCAGTGAGGATAGCTTGGGTGGCCTCCATAAGTAACACGCGATTTCTATCACTGAGTAGTTCCCGCAGAGCACCATGGCATAGAATGCAGCTGCGTATTATAAAGTGTGCTACTTTGTGGGCGACCGCTGCTGGTAGAGCTGTAGTTTCAGCGTTGTTTGTCAGATGATCGACGCCGACAGTAATGCACCGGTTTCCAGAGTTATATACCAGTGGGGGCCATTGAAGTCGATACCAGCGTGGCGAACGGGCTAGCCAGGCACGGGAGCGGCTGTAACATGCCAGTAGGGTACCGAGGGGGTGTCTTGTTTTGTTTCCAAATCGTGCCAAACTGATTATATTTCCGCACAAATGTTTGGGATGTTAAACCCCACATACCAATCAATATATTTCTCCACAAATTGTTACATTCCTCCCATATGATATTGCTGACGTAGCCTTTCGTACGTTTTCAAAACAGCGTCGTGAGCACTTTGGCGATCTGCATGAAAATTCACACAGATCTCAGAGCCCATCTGACTAGCGACTGAGAGGAGCCACTTCTAACCACCTGGCATTAGTTATGGCAGTACATATTGTCTCGCACAGAAAAGTGGGCTGCTTGATTGTGTAGGGCTCTCGTTGAAGGAATAGTCGACGGATCAGTGAGGTATCGAGTAACGAGGCAAGGTTACGCTGCTATCAACGCTGCTCCCAAAGCATGTCAATGGTGCCGAGTGGTGACGAGGTAGTAAAAAGGACGACAAAAAAGCCATATTCGGTGTTAACGGGCAGCGGGAAGTACATAGGCAGCCCAATGCTTGCGACCGGAACGTTATACGACACGTATATCGTATTTCTGCAATCGAAGTACCCCACGGCCCAGGCACCCCGACGAATCTTGCAAGGTGAAAAGCCAATATGAGCGTGGTGGTCTGTGGCCACGTTGAAAGGCCGGCCGTGACGGTATGGGTGAAACTTCGCTAATGCTAAGATTATCACCAAACACACCATCTCTGACACGGAATAATTCAAGTCAGCGTTCTTGAGAGCACGACTTGCACTCGCGAATACTTATTCAGCTTAGGTGGCTTTCTGTTATACTAAAACTGCACCAAGACCATTGTCACTTGTATCGTTGTGAATTTCTGTGGAAGCATCAGGGTTGTATTGACAAAGAATACGTAGTAAGGCCAAGAGACGGCTCAGCTGTTGAAAAACGTTGTAACATGCAGATGACCATGCAGATATATTTTGCTGTTGGTAAGCAGACTCGTCAGGGGTGCGATGATCGTCGTGAAGCTATGCATGAAGTGACAAAATTAGGAGCAGAGACCAAGGAAATTTGTGAGGGCTTTCAGCGATTTGGGCTTTGGGAATTCGGTGACAGCTCGAAGCTTGTCGGGATCCGGAAGAACACCATCTTTTGAGATGACATGTTCCAAGTGGGTTAGTTTACGTGCTGCGAAGTAGCACTTTTTGTTGTTAAGTTGTAAGCCTGCAAAAGTTAGACACGTGCGAATTTTGTGGAGATGAGCAAGGTGTGTACGAAAATCAGCTGAAGAGACCACGATGTCGTCCAGGTAACAAAAGCAAGTCTACTCCTTGTGGCCTCGCAAGATGATATCGATCATGCACTCAAATGTCGCAGGCATATTGCAGAGCCTTAAGGGGATGACAATGCACTCATATAATCCGAGCGGATGTTAAGAGGCTGCTTTAAGGCTATTAAATTCAGCTATTAGAAGCTGCAAATGCACCGAACGCCGACCCAAGCATATAAAGTATTCAGGGCCTTGTAAGCAGTCAAGAGAATCGTCTATTCGTGGTAGCGGATAGACATTTTTTTTCGTAATTTTGTTTAGGCGGCGATTGTCAACGCATAGTTGAATGGTCGCCACTTTTTCTACCGGTACCACAGGTGATCACCAAAGGCTTTGAGAAGGCTGTATGACTCCACGCAAAATTATGCAATTCCCTTACTCTGTAATAACGCGGCGGTCTTCTGCCGAAACGCGGTAAGGACACTCTCGCAGGGGCGAGTGTGAGCCGGTGTCAGCTGTAAGAGTGATAGTCGTTGTATGGCCAAACGAAAGCTGTTTAAAATCAAAAGAAGAAGAAAACTTAGTAGGGAGAGCAACAAGTAGGCGGTTATGAAAGGGAGTATATATGTCTGCGTCAATGGCGTTTTCGAAGGCTGACGAACTTAACAGCTCCGACGCAGGAGTGATTGTGGCAATGTAACAACATGGGCTTTCATCAGCAAGATCAAAATAATTGATATGTGTAGTGTGGGAAACACGGCGCGACTGAGAACAACAAACACACTAAACTCAACCCACACAAGAAATCCTTTGTTCCGCTAACAGTCGTGTTTATATATGTCAGAGGTGCCACCTTCTCTTGATGCTAGTGGAACGTAAATAAAGTAACCTCGTGTCGACCTTCCATACTACATCTATTCTCCCTAACTATACATATTTACACAAAAAATATTTACAAAAAGAGTCACTCTCCCCATCATGGTACATCATACATAGTGATGAAATCTAGTGGGTCGCCTTCGTGTTCTTATAGACCTAAGAAGAGTTTGTAGTCCACCAGCTGGTTCGGCACAAGCAACTAGAGCACAATCACCACTACCTTCCACTAGAGCGTTATTTCTATCACCATACACTGAAGCACTATCACCATCACGATCGTGAACATTAGGAGCAGGTGACGGCCAAGCTCGAAAGAGCGAGTCCTTTTGCCAGGCGTCGGTGTACTTCGCACGGTGTCGTTAGAGGGCCCACTGTCGTCAAATTTTAGCGCATAATGAGGCGAAGCTTCTCTAGGAACTACAGTCAATTGAGAGGCATTCCATGTGCGACCATCTTCAAGGCAGAAGGACCAGCGTCATATTTGGGTGAGAATTTTCTCATGAGGTCTAAAAGTGCGAGTGCCTTTCAGACCAGGGACTAGCTTCTTGACCCTCACGTACTTTCCCGCTTGGAAATAGGGTATTTGGGCAGCTCTCCACCGGTCAACATAATCTTTCCTTTAACGCTGGAGCTCTTTCACCCTCTTCATGCTAAGTGAAGACATCGCCTGAGTGGGATCTGCGAAGAAGTTCGCCGTCGAATAGCCAATGAGATCCAAAGATGTCCTCATGTGCCGGCTTTATAGAAGTACTGCCAGAGAGAGTCCAGTGTACTGTAAGGAGTGGCTCTGTATAGTCGCAAGTACTCTGTAACAGTATTTGTTATTGAGAGCTGCTCCAGTACTGCCCACTTAATGTTTGATTTGAGAACATGGTTAAATCTTTCGACCTGTCCTTTGGCTTGGGATTGATACACTGCCGACAAGCTGTATTTGACACCCTAGCCTTGATGAAAAAACTCAAATTCTTGAGATGTAAACTGTGGTCCGTGATCCGAGACGAGTTCACCCGGATAGTTTTCCCGTGCAAATACCGACAAGGGAAAGTCAATTACTCTGTGGGAGGAGGCTTCTCGGCAGAAGGCTATTTCCGGCCACTTCGAGAAGCAGTCAACTACAGAGATTACAAAACGACAGTCAGCTGACGCAGGCTCAAATGGTTCAACAACATCGATAGCCATCTTGCTCCAAGGCCGGTCAGGAAGAGCTACTGGCTGCAGCGGAATGAGGTAATTTTTAGCACTTTTGTCTGCAGCTTTGCAGGTTGCACAGCTGTAGGTAGCACTCTAAACCTGTTTGTCCAGACCTGCCCACCAGTACCTTTCGTGGAGACGTCACTGTTTTCACTATTCCCGGATGCGATTCATGAGCCAGTTGAACGAATGCACCTGTGAGCTTGGCTGAAACTACAACGCACTCCGAGCGCATCAGCAGGCAATCCACCGTGAATAGTTCCTGCCGCACCTCATAGTAAGGTCTCAGTTCAAGCGGCAATGTGTTCTTGGTTGGCCATGTAGCCTGAACGAATTCTGCAGCCTGCTGAAGCTTGCAATCCTCGGCTGTGGCAACACGGAGGTCATTGATGTGAACTGAAGACGTTACAATAGACACTATTTCTTCGTCAATCATAAGGCTGTTTTTTGTGCTTGGTACAGGAAGCCGGGACAAAACATCTGCTACTTTGTTGTGTTCCCCACTTTGAAACTTCACAACGAAGTTGTAACGCAGCAACCGCGCAGTCTACTTTGCGATACGAAGTGGTCGTTGCTCTGTGCTTTGTGCTGACAGCTTGGAAACAAGGTCATGATGGTATGTTACCCAAGTGAATGTGCAATTTCTTGCATGCCCATAGGCATGCCGGGGCATCGCTATCTCCTCTCGAGTGCTTCCGTTGTGTATCTGTGAAGGTTCCGAATGCAAATGCAATGGTTCGAATGAATGGACCGTCCACTTCTTTCAGTACTGCACCGAGGCCTTATGGATACGCATCTGTGGCTACAATAACGGGGAGCGCTGGGTCGCCCATTCACAGCACTTTTCCTGATGCAAGGAGCTCCTTTACCCTTCTAAAACTTTGTTCAGCAGCCATATATCATTCAAATTAAACATCCTTGCGAAGTAGCCTATGCATAGGGGCTACTTCTTCAGCAAGGTTGGGACTAAACTTGGAATTTTTCATTTTATTTACTTATTTTATTTAGTACATACTGCGAACCATAAATGGTTCAAGCAGGAAGGACACATCACATACAAAAACAAAAAAAACTGGAATAACATGCACCATACACAACGCAATTCACTCTACTTAATTCACAGTGAATGGGAATCACATGCTTTGTTCCAATTATACATTGTCCGTGAAAAGAAAGAATACATAAAGACATCAGTTCTCGCGAAATATGGGGTAAGCAAATTAGGATGGTGATGTCGGGTCTGCCTAGTTGATAGGAAAGAAAGATACGGTGATGGATCAATGGCGAGTTTATTGTTAAGTAAGAAGAAAAGGAAATCAAGCCGTTGTCTGAGTCTGCGCGAAGCAAGTGGCTGAATGTCGTTTGCAGTGATTAGTGCAGAGGGAGAATCAGATTGTAAGTATTTATTGTATATAAAACGAACTGCTTGGCTTTGAACCCGCTCAATTTTATCAATATAAACGTAGCGTAAGGATTCCATACTGTGCTCGCGTATTCTAGTTTAGGTCTTACAAAATAAAAATAACCAGAAGCTTTACATTTGGAGAGCAGTTACGCAGTTTATGTCTTAAAAAGCCGAGTTTTTGGAGGGCAGCTGAACATATGCTGTCTATGTGGACGTTCCAGGATAAATCTTAAGTTATGGTCAAGCCCGAATATTTATATCTAGTGACCTCTCTCAGGGATGACGGTCCTAGTTTATAGATATAGTCTAGCGAGTTTTTGACGTGTAAGACACATACAGACACTTTTGTCTACGTTGAGGGTCATTACCCATTCATTACACCACGGAGCTATATTGGAAAGATTTGTGCGAAGTTCGTTTTGATCATGAACAGAGTAAATATCACGAAACAAAACACAATCTTGAGCAAATAATCCAATTTGTACTGTTGGTGTTATGACATTGACAATATCGTTGATATAAATGAGAAAAAGCAATGGCCCAAGTACACTTCCCTGGGGCACACCTGATGAGACATGAAGAGATGGTGAACGGTGGTCATTAGAGGCAACAAACTGTGACCGGTTAGTAAGATATTCGACAATCCAGTTTACGAGAATGTCTAGAAGGCCAATTTGCTTAAGTTTTTGAATCAGTTTATCGTGAGGTACTCTGTCAAACGCATTACTGAAATCTGAGAAAATTATGTCAGTTTGCCTATTGTTATAAAGATTTAGTGCAACTGAGTGGATTACTGTAACCAATTGCGTTACTGTTGCATACCCCTTTCTAAACCCGTGTTGAAGTTGTGTCAAAGTAGAGTGTTGGTCCAAAAAAATTACTGTTTGTGTGGCAATATTATGTTCAATTATGTCCAGCAGGATGACGTTAGAGATATAGGACGATAATTTTGAGGAGAAAGACGGTTCTCTTTTTTGAATACGGGACTAATGCGAGCAGCCTTCCAGTCACCTGGTAGCTTTGATGACAACAATGAAACACAAAAATTTCTATACACGAATTTTAAGACATATTCAGCATACCTTTTTAGAAACATAATTGGCAGATCATCCGGTCCACACGATGTTTTGGACTTAAGGTTTAAAAGCATCGCGAATACGCCAGAGTAAGACACAAAAGATGCTTCAGATGGATCGAAAACTTTACCACTTGGTACGCATGTACTAGAACCAGAAAACACACTGTGAAAATACGTACTAAAATGCTCAGCCACCGCTTTCTGGTCAGTAACAATCACGCCCTCAATTGCTATTTCTGTCACGGGTTTCTTTTTGTCGGCAATATATTTCCAGAAATTACTTAACTTAGATCATTTTGATGAAGTTGGGCAGCAGTGTCATAAAGTAGCGATGTTTAGAGGAGCGTACGGCTCGTGCAAAGCTGACCTTGAGGGTGGTAAGAGCACCAGTCTGCGTTTGCTTTTTCTGGGATTGCTTTATTTTTCGCTTTAAAAGAATAATATCGCGCGTAATCCAAGGAGTTTGTTTATGAACCTTCTTACGTTTATTCAGAATAAAGTTGTCTATGCAATGGTGACACATAGCTTTAAATCGGTTCCACATTGTTCCGACATCTTCAGCATCAAATACGGCAAAACACGATTCCTTGTAGTTTATCACAGATACGTCATCTGCTCGAGAGTAATCTTTGAAACAACGAAGCGATGATTTTTTATCGCTCGTGCATCTGGTAAGGTGAACGGATACACTAACCAAGATGTGATCAGACAGGCCCTGTTCCACTGAAACAGTGTGCTGCTCTAGTTCACGGCCTATATATACCAAATCAAGAATGGAACTACTGGACCCATGCACACGGGTTGGCTCTTTCACAACTTGCATCAGGTTAATAGATAGCAAGCATGATGTGGAACAAAGCCTCCGTCTCCTTTTTTGTTCAAGGGCCCCGTCGTAAAGCGTTCCCAATCAATAGAAGGTAGGTTAAAATCACTAGCTAATAAACGTTTCTGGTTGCGAAACTGAGACATAGGTTCACGTTATTTTGCCATGCATTCAAACGTAGCCTCAGGGGGTCTGTATACGGCATATAAAATAACACTATGGCTCCAACAAGACAGTCTCATACATACACACTCTAGTTCATCGACACTCGCGATAATTGTAGCCTGTATTGTGTCTTTCACAAGGACGGCTATTTCACCACCCCTTGTAGCTGTGTCTTTTCTATTCACTTTATATGAGGGTGAAAATACGTCATCGTCAGCTATTTCAGGGCACGACTAGTCTCAGAAACAATCGCTACATGAGGGTCATATTCAAATAAGGCAATTTTCATGAGTTCAGTCTTGTTGCTTACGCTACGGACATTCACAGTAACCAATGAGAGACACTTTTGTTCTGAGCGCTTCACGCGAATATTGGAACGTTTACTTTTTGTTGACCGAATCCACAAAGAAATCGTAGAATGTCCTCTTAGGTCTTGATAAGTGACTGGGCATATCGTCTGGTTATCGAACGATTGCTGCTTCCGTCGTTTTTTTCAAGCGGTGTTCTTTCTCCCTTTTCACAGTCCCAGACGTATGCTCGGTTATTTAAGTACAGCTAGTCAAAGGCCAAGTTTACACTTTCGTTATTATCTCGGTTTGCTTTGGCACTTGTCCAAAGATTTTTCTAATGTCTCGTATTCTTGGGGAAAAGTATTCACCGATAGCCACTGTTGTGTTTTTAAGTTTAGATCCTTTCTTTAGTAATTTAGCCTTGTCTCGCCAATCAAGCAACTTAAAAATTACAGGCCTAACTTTGCCGGCTTCAGGTCTACCTATGCGATGAATGCGCTCTATGTTGACAGGTTCTAGCTCCATGATGTCACCTAAAATGCCTTTATTGATGGTGTTTTTAAGAGTTTCGTTGTTTTCATTTATCGTCTCGGGAAGACCGTAAACAATTAAATTGGATCGCCGACTATGATTTTCTAAGTGTTCAATTTTTGTTTCCAGAGCAGTAATTGTTTGTGTCAAAGCCGACAACAGGTTCTGACAGGCATTCACCTTTCTTTCGAGCCAAGATAAAGTATCTAGCTTCTTCTCAATCTCTGACAGTCGCTTCTCTTTAATTTCTTTACCATCGACTGCAATAGCTCTCAGGATTTTACCAATTTGCTCCAGGTCAGGGCCCAGGTTCATCTCAATATCGCCAAAGAGTAACAATAACTTTCTAAGTACGATTTCGGCGTGGCACAACAAACAGCACAACCATGGGCACGGCAGCACCAGCAAAAATGGATTGTCAGAGCGGACACATTTCTCATATTGTTTTCACCTGCAGAAAAAACACGAATGGATTACTGACGGTCCTCATGCTGGTACAGTCGCTGCGCCCAATGGTCGAGATGGCCGCTGGACGTAAACTTATAGTTGAGTTGCATGATGCTGCCACCTGCCAGTCATCCACGGCACAGGCAGTCAGTTGGCCACGACGCAGGCTGTCCCAGGGCGTTGATACTCGCAGATCAGGCACGCGCCAGATAGGGGCATCGCAGGCATGCGCAGATGTCGTTTCGCAGCTCCCTGAGCACCAGCAACGAACTGGCGGCAGAAGGTTGAGGATCTGTAGAAGAAACACGAATGCTTTACAGACAGTCCTCATGCTGGTACAGTCACCGCGCCCAATATTACTCCACAAGACCGAGAAATGAACGCAGCATGCCTAAATGTGGGCGGTGGCAGCGTGTACAATTGCATCAACTTTCGCTTGAAGGGGTATTTCTTCTGCGCTGATATGATGTCGAAGAAATTAAAACTGTCATGCATAAAACTAGTACTTATCATTGAGGTTGAGTCCAGGCAACAAAGCTTGCTCCGGGTTTTTCGCATGGTGCGACTCAGTTCTGCCAAAAATGATGATATAGTCTATGTAGCAGAGAAACCCCTTGCAACCCTGCAGAATTGTAGTCATGAGTTGCTGAATGCGACTAGAGAAGACGCCAATCTAAAGCGCACTCCTTTAAACCGG